CCGCCGCCGCACCCCTGGCCGGGATCGGCCCCTGCTGCGCCGCCGCCGCACCCCTACACGGCGGTGCCACCGCCGCCGCACCACAACTACTCCGCGCAGCCGCAGCAGTCCTATGGGGGCGCGGCTGCCTCGCCATATGGTGCCCCCGTAGCTCCCGGGCACGGTGACTCGGCCACTGCAGCGCCCGGCCTCTACGGCCCTCCTGCAGCGCCGGGCGCCCTGGCTGCTCCCTCGCCCGGCTACCCCTACGCGATGATCCCTCGTCCAGAGATGGCTCCGTCCATGGATCCCTATGCATCACTGGCGCAGGCGTACACTGCTCAAACCGCGGCGCCGCCGCCGTTTTATTTCTCGCACCTGCTTCCAGTGAAGCTCAGGCCGGACAACTACCTGTCATGGCGTGCGCAGGTCTTGCCTCTCCTCCGCAGCCGCTACTTGGAGGGCTACGTTGATGGGTCCATCCCGTGCCCACCTCCTCACCATCCGGCATATGACACGTGGGTGGCGCAGGATCAGGCCATTCTCTCTGCCATCCAGTCCTCGCTCACGCCGAGTGTTTTGTTGATGTTCATCATCGCCGGTACGTCCAGGGAGGCGTGGGCGGCCCTCCACACCAGTTTCGCCTCTCAGTCTCAGGCGCGTGCGCACTCTATACGCACCGAGCTGGGTGAGACCAAACTTGGCGATCTCAGCATCACGGAGTACTTCAACAAGATGACCAGCCTCGCTGACACCCTGGCCTCTGTTGGTCAGCCACTTCTGGACGCGGACTTCACCACCTTTGTGCTTAACGGGCTCGATGATGATTATGATAATCTCATTGAGAACGTCCATGGTCGAGATGATACACTCCCGCGTCGTGAGCTCTATGCGCGCCTCCTTGGGCGTGAGCAGCGCATCAAGGCGCGCCGTGTTTCCCCCGCTTCTTCTCCGCCAACGCTGCCACACGCGGCAAACCTCAGAAGCCGGCCCCATCAGGTGGCAAACCACCGGCTTCCCCGTCGCAGGCCTCGAGGGGCAACGCGCCGACCATCACGGGAGGGAGTCGCCCAGTTGCTTGTTGTTCCAGTTGTGGCGCTCCTCAGGCTTGTCAACTTTGTGGCATAGATCGTCACCTCGCCTCTCGCTGCCACAGACGCTACAAGCAAGACTTCCTTGGCCTTGGCAACAATGGAAAAGGGAATGATAAGCAGGCTGCAGCTGCGGTGACAGGGCACGAGCACGGGGGCACCCAGTCATACTCCCTTGATCCGGCATGGTACATGGATACAGGAGCGACGAATCACCTCACCAGCGAGATGGGCAAGCTCTTCGTTCAGGAACCGTACCGTGGACATGATTAGGTGCACACCGCCAATGGAGCAGGTATGCGCATCTCCCATGTTGGTCAGGCATCACTTCTTGCACACAATTTTCGCAAACTGCATCTTTCTAATGTCCTTCGAGTTCCCTCTGCTACGCGTAGTTTGTTGTCTATTCCTCAACTTACTCGTGAATGTCCTTGCTGAGTTTTACCCTTTTCGTTTCTTTATCAAGGATCGGGACACGAGGGTTGTTCTTCTTAGTAGTCGTCTTCGCCATGGCTTATATGCACTTGACACACCGTCTACATCTCCTACGCCGTCTTCTCCTCAGGTGTTCAGTGGTGTTCGTGTGTCGCCTACGCACTGGCATGCGCGCCTTGGACATCCTGCTGCTCCTATAGTTAGTCATGTGCTGCATCACCATGAACTACTAGTTGTGTCCAATAAGAGTGCTAAAACTATTTGTGATGCCTGTCAGCAGGGCAAGAGTCACCAACTACCTTTTTCAGAGTCTAGTCGTGTTGTGAAACATCCTCTTGAGCTTGTGTTTTCTGATGTATGGGGTCATGCCCAAACATCTGTCAGTGGTCACAATTACTATGTCAGTTTCATTGATGCTTACAGTCGGTTTACTTGGCTATATCTTATCAAGCGTAAATCTGACATGTTTAATGTTTTCATTCAGTTCCAAGCACACGTTGAGCGTCTCCTTAAGCACAAGATTATTCATGTTCAATCCGATTGGGGGGTGAATATCACAACCTCAACTCGTTTTTTAATAAGCTTGGGATTTCGCATCGTGTGTCTTGTCCTCATACACATCAGCAAAACGGCACCGCTGAACGTAAGCATTGTCATCTTGTAGAGACTGAACTTACTTTACTAGCTCATGCCTCCGTCCCGTTTTCGGTTCTGGAGTGATGCCTTCTCCACCGCCCATTTCTTGATAAATAGGCTTTCCTCACGACTGCTGAAAATGAAAACTCCTCTTGAACTCTTGCTCGATGATATTCCAGACTACACGTTTCTCAAAGTGTTTGGGTGCGCATGTTGGTCGCACTTGCGGCCTTACAACAAGCGCAAATTAGAGTTTCGGTCTAAGAAGTGTGTTTTCCTGGGGTACAGTTCTCTTCACAAAGGGTACAAGTGTCTTCATGTTCCCACCAACCGTGTCTACATTTCTCGTGACGTCGTGTTTGATGA